GTAAACGCATTCAATACGCCACTACGATTGTGAATGGAAGTCGGATGCTGGGCGCATCCCTCGGATGGGATTCATCCCACCAAAACAGTTTCTTTTTTAATTCACTGCCACAACACGAAGGTAATTCTTTTCGAACTACTAGTTCACAAAAATCGAACAGATTAGAGGGGGATGTAGCATTACTATCGATTTCCAATCACCTATTCAGATTGAAATATACGTTGTTTATAGTCACTGGGGTTGGCAATAAATAAAATAGTAAATTCTCGACTTACACTCTTCTTCTTACGTTTCTCCACTGGTTTAAACTCTCCAGAGTGAAGCTCCAAACTCTGCGGTCCACGACCACCTTTTCTCAACTTTGACATACCCTTTCGAAGTTTCTTTGACTGAAAGTTTTGTTTTATTGACTAGTAGTTATTTTGTAAAGTTTTTCAGAACCATCGACCTTTTGCTTTTGCTGATTAGATAAATCAACATTTATACTTCGGAAAAAGGTGGGAAATATGAAAAACCAGATGAATTTCAAAAAAAAAGTCACAGTTCATCAGAATGATGGGTTAATACTAAAAAGGAGGAGAAAAAGGAGAGGAAAAGGAATAGTCCTAAAAAGAGCGATCAGTCAAGCTGAAGAAAAACTCAATGACACCCTCTTATATGCTACATATACTGTATACGTAAAACAGGCCACGCCCCCGTAGAACTTTATCTCCCACGGGTGCGAGTTTTGAAAGCTATCTTGCATAGAAACTTAGAGCTCCGCAGAGAACTCCACGTAGATCAGAAGAAACACAAGAGGATCCTTATCTACTGCTCATTTGAGGGTAAGTTGCTCAAAGTTGCGCACGTGGGAGCAGGGGAATCCAGGTTCTCTGACCTCTGACTCTGACTCCGGAATCTCTGACCCAAAATCACGACTCTGGAGAAGAACCTCTATATTTTCTAGGTTAATGAATAGAAGGTCCTTGGTCGCTAGGTAAAAGTGAGACAGAAAAGTTCTCAGGGGCTCACCCACCTTCTTTCCACCTTTCCTCGACTTGGTTCGCTTCACAGGCTTCACTATTTCCGCATCCTCGTCTGTTGGGAAGAGCTTAAAACAAAAATTCCAAGAAGATTTAGTACAGATGCATATAGTGAAGATAAACCTCGCTAGGAACTGGGAACCCTGTGTTGGAATTATTGTCTGCGTCCAAACTGAATTCTCTGAAAAGGAGATCGTTGGGAATAGAAGCCCTAATGGGAGAAATTCATTTCCTACTTCTTGAGTGACTCATCGCCTTGTTCTGCCAGCTTTGTGATGTTCTGCAGCATCCAATCCAGGGCCTTAAGTGTATCCGGAGAAAGATCCTGAAAGTTATTCTTTGGGTGAACTCCTACTGGATGACTGCGGGAGAAAAACGCTTCCCTTGCTAAGGTACGAGTAGGAAAAGATGGATTATTGATGAGATTGAAAGATGGATGCGATTATTACAGATCAGAATCTATTCTCAATTTGTCCAACTATCTGGGACATATTCCCTATTCGAAGCTCTACGACACAGCGGAGGTCTTCATGTGCCTTCGCAGAAGCCTGACAATAGAGCCAGGTTTGACTGGTTCCTGTCCCCCAGACCTTGGGAGCTGACTGTGGTAAGCACAGATCTATAGTTTAAAAACGGAGAGCTGAAGTAGGAGAAAACGGCGTATATCCCAGAGTTACCAAGGTTCGCCCGAACCGGAGAAGGCAGAAATCATACTTAGAGCTTGTGAATACTTGGTATTAATTAAGCCGTTTCGTCCAGGAACGTTGCTGTAAACCCGACGGCTAGATAGCTTCGCTTTATAACCAAAGGCAGCGTACATTACTCACCTGGGGTGAGTTCTCAGGTACCTGTGGCTTTTTTGTTACCTCTCCATAGTGGATATATCGTTTTGAGTCTGACGATTTCCGGAAGGCGAATCCAGTGAATCCGAAACCTATAGAGGGATTTAAGAACTTTCCAGAAACAATTGTCTGCCCCAACTGAACAGAGAAATCACCTTTATTTTTCTTCTGCTTCATGACTGTTTCCGGTAGAGGTTTACTTAAACCATACGACGTAACTTTAGCAGAAACCAACGGCTTATTCACGACCACCGGTTCGATAAATCCACTGAAATCGAGTTTTTGTGTAATTGGCTGGCTTGGCCTGTTTTGACTGGTGTGTGTTACTCCAAAAAAAGGAAAAAAGCGGAAAATTATCAATGGGCTGCAAAAAGAAGCATGGGAGGGCGGGGCTTGGGTACGAGTTGTATTACCCACTTAAAAGCACAGTATGAACGTTAATGTCCAAATCGATGCCATTATTGGCTCCATGCTGTTTTCCCTTTTGTTACCATACACTCAAGCAGAACGAAATAAAGGGCTGAGCCATACCTAGGCTGGCTCTCATTCTTAATAGCTTGGAGCTGCTGAATACTGCTAATGTTCGCTCTGCCGCCCCCTCCTGATGAGCGCGTAGGAGGCAGGATTTCCGTGATGAGGGCTGGGTTGGAAAGCAAATCTCTAATTCTCCCATTTTGATGGAAAACTCACACTTCCAGGCCTTTTATGAACATTTGTCAACTGTCCAGCAAAGTCTGCAAGACTGAGTCCCACAAAAAAGTCTACAGTACTCACGCGGCATCGTTGACGACTGTCGTGGTGGCAGCAGTGCTGGTGGTAGAAGGCGTCGTTGGAAACGTGATTGTAGTAGGTTCAGGCGGGGCTGGCGTAACCACCACAGGTTCGGTATCCTCGTCAATTGCATTACTTAGCTAAATTGTCAAAAGTAATTAATTTAGAAAGGGGTAGTCGTGAAGTGCCGTAATACGGGAACAATCGGGTAATTATAATGATCCTTATTGGACAAATTTTCCCGACATGACCTCCTGTGAGATGAAGTGGATTAAAAATCTGGATGGGCTCGGCAAAATTTAGATCCGCGTTTGATCCCGTAGCTAAATGAATGGTAGCGGTACGCTCAACATATTGGAGCCTTCTTTGTAAAACTTTGTAAAAAAAAAAAGATATTAGCCGCAAAAAAAGGTGATGGCCAAAATAAGGCACCGCTCGAGACTCTTCACTAGAACACCTTGAATCTCAGGCTGATTGATCACTGACACTGGAGCAAAACTACTTATTCTTTGGGACGGGAGATTGAATTAGGTAAGTGGATTAGCCAAGTCTTTCTCGATTGTTGAGGATAAACTTACCTGCGGTTGAACGATCTCAGGGCGAGTACCAAATTTCTCAAAGTGGTCCTCGTCGTCGAGTAAGTGCTTGATTTCCTCAATTACATTAGGGTCTGAAAGGCGAAAAGTTAGTAACCTGAGCGAATAGGGAATGCAGGATTAATAAATCACAATGTTGATTTTCGGCACTCAAATTAAATAAATTTTCCCTAACCAGTGTACCACAGTCTGTCGGTCACCCGATGCAGCTAGGAGGATAAACCATGGCAGTACTTGGATGAAGATGATATGTGTATTGACAACAGCTGAACAATGTAAGTCGCTGTGTAAACTTGGTAGATGGCCAAACAGCGAGGCAATTTCAACAGCGTGGCAAATGCCTGGCGCCTTCCCATAGCTTTTATCGAGAGCCATTTGCTCTGCCCATTCACTTATCGAAACTCGAGATACATTATTGTATCACTAGCAGGACATGATGAAGGGAAAAAAACACAGTCACCGCTCAAAACTGCTCGTCTTTGAATGAGCCATGAACTGAACCCCTCCTGTTAAATGGGACAGGGCTCTATCAGTCACTAGACCGCTCCACTCTTTCAAAATCGCAGTCAAAGTCGGCTACTTTTCGATAGTTCCGAAGCCAAGAAAAATTTTCAACGAATGATGATGATGAAACGAAAAATATCTCACCAGTAGTTGTGGACACAGGTGGTGGCGCTTCCTTATTGAGATCCACTCGAATAAAATCTTCATTATGAGGAATTTCAATTGAACTTGCAGTTTCTCTTTGTTGAAATTCTGCAGGCGGATGATCTTCTTCGAGGAAATCGGGATTTGTTATATCCATGTGATCCTTCACATTGGGATTCTCCACCTTGGCTTTTTCTTTCTGAAATGTAACATCGAAAATCAGAATCAAAAATATTTGCAAAGATCGCATTGGTAGTTGGTGGAAACAAACAACAAACGAAAAGAAAAGAACTCAAAGATGAGAAGTTAAATTTAAAATGAAGAAAGTCAGGTATTGTTGTGAGTTACAGTAAGCGCATATGGTACCAAACAGTACGGTACTTATTTTCACCCTGGTAGAAAGGAGCTTCAGTTTATTTTCACATGCGCCGTTATGTAACGCGCTTTCGTGGAATTTATGTTCACGATTTTGACCAGTTAGAGTGACTGTATTCTCCAGGATTTGAAAAAACCTTGCCTTTTATTCGGCAGCCCTAGGAAATTATTAGATGAACATTCACTACGGCCACTTCTACGAATATGGTCTTGGAGTGGTCGCTCACTATCATTCCGAAGGTCTGGAGTTCGACGGTGATCCTCAATTCTGCTTTACTGCTTCTGGGGCCGGAACTAGTTGCAGTATGGCCCTCAATTCAAGCCCTAGAAGCACTGAAAAAGCTGACGGTTGTCGATGAGCATTATGTAATTCAGTTTGCTGCTCCTGAGGGCCTAGAGGAAGTGCTAGACTGCAACTTACTTGACTCCAACTCCGGAGGGAGCGAACAAATGAGTGATAAACTTCTGGCTGACGTGCTCCTCTTCGATTGCCCCTTCAGAGGAAAAGAAAGGAGCGGTAAAGCCAAAGGGCCATCTTACCAATTAGAGTACAAAGCTCAACAATTTCCACCTGAGCCTGTCCCATAGGGTTCAGATACTCTTGGCGAGAGCATAGGGAATGTTTTATAACTGGGTAATGTCATAAGAGCAGAAATAGTCCTCATAAACAAATTAAAGGTTAAGCACAAGTTTGGTACTAGCCTACAATGTCAGTGATGGAACGTACCTGTTCACTAGCCGGACTGTTCTCTACAGATTTGTTCTCCACAGATTTGATTTCCGTAGAATTTCCAGCGCTCTGAAGCACGTTCATTTCATTTTTGAGAGAATATGATTCCATTTTCGAATAGAAAATAGTCTTCATTAATGATAACTGGGATATCTCAGAAATTGGTTTTCAGGGAACAATAAAGACAAAATTCAAAATATAGACGGAATTCGTACCGTTTTGGTGCCGGAGGCCAACTGTTCTTTAGGTCTCCAAACTTCTTGTGACGAATGATCGCGTGAACCACCAAGTCGGCCCTCATTACGTATTTGCAACGAACTCAATCTAAATTGCCACAGTTACCGTATCAACACCGTACCGAAAGACTCACGATTTTTATATGTATTGCCAAAGAAAGGAAAGAGCTAGATATTATAGAATTAGGCATTGCAAAGCAATGATTCGTTTCCGTTTCATTAAAATGACCAAGTGCCTCTCACATATCTCTCACGGCTCATTGATAACAGCAATATCTTTTTATGATGGTCGTTTTAATGAAACTGAAACGAATCATTGCTTTGCAATGCCCAATTCTATAATATCTAGCTCTTCCCTTTCTTTATTATTTTAATTATGCTTATTTGTATTCATCTCTATTCATCTGTGCAAAGAGCGGAGAAGGTGATGTGACAAGTGGCGCAATATCACACATGATTGGACATTGGTCCGAATCTCAGATCCATATCCACCTAGGCTAACCAAGCCTTTCATCCCTCCGAGGTGACTACTTGGTAAGAGGCTCGTCTGAGAGGATAAGAGTACTGACTTGTGCATGGGCTACCCACCGCGAGTGATTGTATAGTCCACGTACGCATTCAATCCGCCATAACGATTCTGAATGGAGGTCAAATGCGGGGCGCATCCTTCAGACGGGATTGATTAACATGCAAAAACTATGTCGAGAACTTTTTATCTGAGATACGAAAGTAATACTACAATACAGTAATACATCGGCTAGCCACGGCAAATCATTGTGTAACCCACGAGCGCTTTCAATCCGCCATTACGATACCGAATGGAAGTCGAATGCGGGACTCACCCCAAGACGGATTGACCAGAACTATGATCCATTCCCTCACCTATCTCTCAAGCACATTCTGTTGATGGCTGCTTCGACCCCTTCCATCTAAAGAATCAAGGATAAGGTTATCAATCTCGAAGGATCCCCAGACCATGCGTGGGTAACAGCGTTTACTTGTCACCACACATCATTACCTACGACTGATAGCTTAATCTCACATTTAAAAAGAGAAAACCGTTCGTTCATTCACAAGATCCTCCCTAGGCTGTCTACCTTTAAATATCTACCTTTAAACGCTTACAATACATTTGACGGTTACTGCACTAATAGAAAAATATGCCTTCCAAGGAATGAAGGAAAATTTGATCCCTCAATATCTTTCCAGTTGTAGAGGAGGTTTCCGACAGAGACCCCATCACATATTGCATTTGAACGATCACACTATCAAGTCCTGCCTCATCCTGATTAAAAGTTCGCCACCATGATGAAGTAGGTTAATCGGTGTCAGATTCGTCCGGCAAAAACACTTTAGATGACAGTCCATATCACATTCCCTTCGAATGACAGTCCATATTACATATGTCATAAACTTTTAATCTGGTATGCATGAAATCGAACATGCTCCACTCTCAAATGAGATTCACGTCTCATAAGCCTCATATGCAATCATAACCGTCAAACGACTACCTCATTTGCTACTTATAACCGTTTCGCAGCAGCCTTCAGGGTTCTTCAGAGTAGTACAGGTTCTGAGGGTGACATTTATCACGCTCATTTATCACGGAGAAAAGCTTGATCACTGCTTTCGAGTGCGGCATGCATATGACATATATATCAAATTGTAGAAAAACCGGATTGGGGCAGTATGAGCTTGAATACCGCCTGTTGAAATCAACTATAGTTAAGAGAAATTGCTATGTTCCATACCAGAAAACGAGGAAACGACATATTACACTTGTTGTCCGGGTAGAAGCGGTGCACACACATGGTCACGGGTTTGAATCCTGGACCGATGTCCGCCCAGGCCAACTTAGCCTTCCATCCCTCTGGGATCGGCTAGTTGGTACCAAACTCGTCTGGGAAGGTAAAAACACTGGCATGTTCATCGGTAACAAATACAACTTATTAGGGCGAAATCTGGTTTCAGAGGAGCATCATTCATGAGCATTCCAAGAGCACAACATTCCATTTTGTACGCCCATATGTGAGAAACAAAGGGTTAAATTGACAGTCCCTGCCCCGACCTACTTGCTCGTCTGTATCCGGTGGTTCGTACGATTGAGCCAGATCAGTTTGATTGCGAATGAACGAAAAACTTTGTTTAGTGTACTGATTAGCTAATTAAATCAATCTATCAATGAACAATCCACCAATTGTTCTTATGTTACTTGAGGAATTGTTTGTCTTCTAGTGGATAAACTGGAGCGGACACAGACAACATCAAGCGGCCAAAAACTGGACGACTTATCATGTGGGTAGCTCATCCGGGTAAGAGTTTACTTCTTCACGAGGAGCTATGGAGTCGGGTTCCTATGAACTCAAGTGGGTCACCGCAAAAGAAATAAATAATTAACTTTCTCGTAGTCTTCTATTATAGCCGGTCGGCTCTCTTAACTACTGTGCAATTTCCTATGTCAAAGATCTTCCTAGGAAAAGTGATTTGAGGTCAGACACACCCAATTCCTACCTGAAGACAGAAGTGTACGATTCCACGATTCGATCGATATGCATGTAATACTACATGCATAGCTGGCTAGTTCCCAAGAATCGCAAACTATGAACCTCGTGAAAGTAGAGGAGAGGGATGACAAGCCTCATCCCTCTCCTCCACTTTCACGAGAGTTAGGAATTTCATAATGATTAGTTTTATCGATGGGTCGTTCACAGAAAGCATTAAATTCTAGTAATTTTCTTCGACCCCTCTCATGTAGCTACCACGGGACCACAGGTTACGATGGCAATATACTTGTGCCTTGTAACTTTGCAGATAGAGCTGCTGACTGATTTTATGGGCCTGACAGAAGAACAGAGTCCTGATCTTTCTCTACACAGGCCTCCACACAACTCGAGATCATGTGCACATCTCCCAACAAGCACCCTGTACCCGTACCAAATTCGACTTCTGGTTCGGAATTCGTTCAAGAAATACCCACAACTCAAAGGGGCCCACCATAGTCACCGCTAAGTCATCCAGAATTCGCTGTCGGCACAAGCAACGGTGAGACTCCCTGCTGTCTCCTTTGTACTTATGGTAATAAGGAAGACTAAGTCGTGATGTCAGCAATTCACGTGCGGTGCGGTACGTATGGCGTAAGATCTGTGAATCGCAAGATTGTAAGATCTTGAACGGACTCATTCACTCCTGCCGTTCAACTGAGGATCACTTTGGAGAATGCAGAACGTCCTTTTTTTGTTGGAATGACCCCCTTCTGATAAGACGAGAGTCAAATCGAGGTGAAACTATGTCTTCCCCCCGTTTCGATATGCCATGAAGTCAGGGCTGTAAAACTACGAAGCTTTTTCAGAGCTAATCTATAAGATCTCGCCCCATTAATAAGCAGGCTTAGTAAGCATTCCCTACGGCAACATCAGGTAGCATTAAGTTTGAAACCGGCTTCACTATTAGTAATGCATAACAAATGATCCATGATTGCGTCATGGAATGTCTCAATGGAAAAACAGGTGATTGCGTATGAGCGATAGAATATCGGGCATTTCGATCAACATACATCGGAGATATAGGGAGACAACTAGCTATGCAATTGAAAGAAACACCTAACTATGTCGCAACCCGATGACGGCGCTTGATTGACGTAAAATCGAGGAGCACAACGGCGACGGTTTTGGAACAGAGTGCACGAAATTAGCGCAAGAGATGGATATTTACGCAAAAAAAGACATTAGAGGCTTTCTGAAATTTCTTCAAAACTCCTCAAGTGAACAGCGGAGATGAGTGACGGTGACCCTGGTGAGAAATTTCGGGTTTGGGTATTCCCCGAGTACGTGCCGAGCACTCCATAGTGTTTAGCTTTGGGTTGCGTACTATCAGAGCCTCTAATAAGGTTTCAAAGACTCGACAGTTGCCAATATGAACGCAACCCAGCAATCTCAAGCAAATATCAGGTTTTCCGAAGGACTTACGCTTCATTCAACTCTTCTTCTTGTATATTCAATTGCTCGGAAGACAAATGATTAGCCAGAGCCGATTCTGTAAAAAGGGACCATGAAAATTCTGAAGGAGAAAACATCGAAATTTCAAAAGAATCTCGAAAAAAACTGCAGCTAACCCGCTGAAGCTGGTTTTTGAATCAAAAGTTCTTTTATTGCCCGTTCGAGTTCGATTGCTTCCTGTGATGATTCTGAAATTGAAGCCCTTATTTTCGACATGGAACTTCTTGCTATGCTGCTTCATTGGAATAGATGTTGCTGTGGCAAGAAACACCATCTTGTCTGAGAGAATTCCTTCAAGAACCTCCAGAAGTTCAAACAAACAAGTAGGGCTATCTCAACGCCGCGCGTAGGGGGTGGAGTCTGTACGGTGGGCGGGTTCGTGTGAGTACAGAGTCACGCCGAAGGGATTAATCGAGGCTTTTCCTCTGAAGGAACAGTGCAGCATCTTTTTTATTGAAAAAAGTATTTTGTTGAGCGGGGTATGAGGTAGCACCTGTGCGTTTCTAAACTCTTGAGGATCAAGTCTTCCCCCTAATGGGCAGTGTACCAGCGCGACATAGGAGATATATGTATACAGACGCGGCCTAGTCGTTTATACT